AGTTTGGGGGATTTCGGAAAAGCTGTTTTAGGCAACAAAAGGCTGTTAGGCAAAACCCTAAACACGTATTAACGCCCTCTGACTGAGACGTGGCAATCTTGAGGGGCCTTTCGGGTTGGCGTATCCAACTAATTAATCCTCATTTTTTCAGGCCACTTTTATTGCTGGGATGGCACCACCCTACCGCCCTCCTTGGCGAGGGCCCCTAAGCAGGCCGTGCAAGACGGCAACGCCTTGCAGCTTGCAACGGCAGTACTTGAAGGTTCATGGTACTTACTAACCAATTATAACTGTACTTATAACCCTACTTATAATACCCCTAAAGGGCCTTATAGGGGTTATCCCAATTATAAGTAGGGTTATAAGCCCAGTTATAATTGGTTAGTAAGTACCATGAACCTTCAAGTAGGGCTGGGGTTCCTGGCACGAGATCTCCTTCCGCCTTCCGCTGCGCGGGAAGCCAGCCTAAACCCTATGCCCTCTAAATCTAAAGGGGCTGTCGCCCACAGCCGGGCACGCCCCGGGCGGAGCAGCCACAACAACAACCACAAGACCGCGCAGGCGCGCGCGCGCGCGCGAAAACAAATACTTTTCACCCCCCAGGACCCGCTCATGCTGCCGATGCTCGCCCCCCGGATCCCCAAAAAGAACGAAGCCTCGCTGATGCGCACCCCTGGCCCCGGCCTCCAAGCATGCGTGGCTTATGGGGGCATATGCCGGCCTCAAAACGGAAAGGTCCGTGGCAGCACGAAAACCACGGTATTTACAGTGTTTTCTGCGGTTTCCAAGCTCTCAGCCGCATCCGAAACCAGAGACTCAACCCGCTGATGCTCATGATGCGCGCTCTTGTGGGGGTCCTTTGGGGTAGCCGATGCCCCCCAAAAAACATCAACAACGCGTCTTCGGCAAAAGTTAACAAATAGACTCGATGATGCTCTCCGGGGTCGTTTTTGGGACCTCTCGTGGGGCACCCAAAAAATGCGTCCAGGAGCCCAATTTCGGTGGGGAATAGCGCGTTCTTCGCGATAAAAGATGTACCTAAAACATGATGCCCTTCGGAAGCCGAATTTGAAGCCGGATGTTGGCGACCCAACTGCGGCCTGCGCCCCCAGGGCAGGCCGCCTAACGGCATCGGACCACGGGCGTGCCCGGATTTAGGAGCCTCCGGCTCAGGCCGCCGACCCGAGAGGCTCGCCCCCAATTTCGAATCCCCCCAACCCGAAGAAAAAAACTCTGCGGGTTGTTTTGGGGGCAAGTGTCTTGGCCTGGGTGGGGGTGGGGGGTGGCGGGTGGGGGTGGGGGTGGGGCCCCTCCCCTCCCCAAGAGAGAACCATCGGCGGACCATACAAACAAGCCCTATTAAACCCGATAAACCCTATAAACGCTATGAACCCCTAATAAAACCCTGCAAGACCCTATTAAAACCCTTTCAACCCTGTAAACCCTACAAACCCTGTAAGCCTTACGAAACCCTAAAATGTAAAACCCTGTAAACCCTTTAACCCCTATAAACCCTTGAACCCTAATGAAACCCTAAACCCTTGAACCCTGAACCCGAAACCCTTAACCCTAAACATTGGCACGGGATTCCATGACCCTCTGCAAGCACGGAGGCCGGACCCGAACTAGGACGAGGGCAGCCGCCCCGCAAGCGCAAGGACCGGCAGGTCTGAAGAGTGGGCCCTAAACCCTAAACCCTAAACCCTCAACCCTAACCCCTAAACCTTAAACCCTAAACCCAAAACCCTAAACCCTAAACCCAAAACCCTAAACCCTAAACCCTAAACCCTAAACTGGCCCTAAACCCTAAACCCTAAACCCTAAACCCTAAACCTCTAGAAGTTAGTTTAATCTGTTTTATGGTTTTGGTTCCCAGGCCCGAAGCCCCCAAACCCAAGGGCCTCGCGGCTTGACGAAGACGGTTTAGGGCTAGGGTTTAGGGTTTAGGGTTTAGGGTTTAGGGTTTAGGGTTTAGGGTTTAGGGTTTAGGGTTTAGGGCTAGGGTTTAGGGTTTAGGGTTTAGGGTTTAGGGTTTAGGGGTCTAGGGTTTTAGGGGTCTAGGGGTTCAGGGGTTTGGGGGTCTAGGGGTTTAGGGGTTTAGGGGTTTAGGGGTTTAGGGGTTTAGGGGTTTAGGGCTAGGGTTTAGGGTTTAGTAGGGTTTAGGGGGGTTTAGGGCTAGGGTTTAGGGTAGGGTTTTAGGGCTTAGGGGCTAGGGTTTAGGGGTGGTTAGGGGGTTAGGGTTTAGGGTTTCGGGTTTAGGGTTTAGGGGTTTAGGGGTTTTTCGGGGTTTTTAGGGTTTAGGGGTTTAGGGGGTTAGGGGTTTAGGGGTTTAGGGGTTTAGGGGTTTAGGGGTTTAGGGGTTTAGGGTTCAGGGGTTTAGGGTTTCGGGTATTGGAGTTTAGGGGATTTCGGGTTCAGGGGTTTAGGATTTAGAGGTTTAGGGGTTTAGGGTTCAGGGTGTTAGGATTTAGGGGTTTAGGGTTTAGGTGTTTAGGGTGTAGGGTTTAGGGGTTTAGGGGTCTGTTGGGGGTGTAGGGTTTTACCGGTTTAGGGGTCTCTTGGTCTATTGGGTGTTTAGGGTATGTTGGGGGTTTAGGGTTTAGGGGTGTAGGGGTTTAGGGGTTTAGGGGTTTAGGGTTTAGGGTTTAGGGGTTTAGGGGTTTAGGGGTTTAGGGGTGTTTGGTTTAGGGGTTTAGGGGTTTGCTTTACAGTTTAGGGGTAAGGCCCTCGGCCACATACCCGAAGCCCCAAGCCACGCGAAGGGTTTAGGGTTTAGAAAGCGCTGCAGCCTTGCTAGGAGGTTCGCGGAATGGCCCACCTGGACGGTACAAGAACCCTAAACCCTAAACCCTAAACCCTAAACCCTAAACCCTAAACCCTAAACCCTAAACCCTAAACCCTAAACCCTAAACCCTAAACCCTAAACCCTAAACCCTAAACCCTAAACCCTAAACCCCAAACCCTAAACCCTAAACCCTAAACCCCTCAACCCGAAGCTCTATAAACCCCACTTCTAATTTCCCATGAGCCGTTGCGGCTCCACGGGGCAGATGTGAAGGTCGTTCTAAAGACCCTCAACCCTAAACCCTAAACCCTAAACCCTAAACCCTACAACCTAAATAGATGGACCTGGGGACTGGCATCTTCAACAACGTACCATGTCCTGATGATCACTCCCCCTAAGCCCTAAACCCCAAACCCCAAACCCCAAACCCTAAACCCTAAACCCTAAACCCTAAACCCCAAACCCCAAACCCTAAACCCTAAACCCTAAAGTCGGGATGGCCATGGGCGGCGGCCAGAAGTCATGGCGGACCTGTTGCAGGAGCATGGGTTTAGGCCAAAGTTTAGGGTTTCGGGTTTAGGGTTTAGGGTTTCGGGCTTAGGGTTTAGGATTTAGGGTTTAGGGAGGCTCATGGGTGGTTAGAACTGCAGGGTACCTGCGGCTATTCTAATTTACGTTCTTGTGGCACTCAGAACTCCACTTCTAGCGGAAGTGTCCCAAAAACCTTAAACCCTAAACTGTAAACCCCAAACCCTATAAACCCTAAAACCTTAAACCCTGGCCCCGAAGCCCTAAATCCTTGACAGCAGCTTCACGTCCGATTGATTTGGGCTTAGCACTTGGTTTCGTATTGATCTTGGGTCGGGACTTGGTTCTTTGTGAACGGTTAGGGTTTGGGGTTTGGGGTTTGGGGTTTGGGGTTTAGGGTTTAGGGTTTAGGGTTTAGGGTTTAGGGCTCAGGGCTCAGGGCTCACTGCTCAGGGCTCAGGGCTTAGGGTAGATTGTAGACTTTCGGTTGGTCTTCAAATGTCTAGAGTTGCGGGCTCAAGGTGGAAAGTATTTCAACAGCACTTGGAGGTTCATGGGGTAGTTAAAAAGTACTGTAGGGTTAATATGTATGGAAACTGGAGTTACAACCTTACTTCGAGTGCTGATAGCCCCACTTGCATCTACCCATGAGCCTCAAAGGTATGCTTTCGGTTCGCGTACCCTAAACCCTGTACCCCAAGCCCTCAACCCTAAACCCCTGCCCCACCCCCGACATGGGCGCAGGCTGACTGCTGGAGGGCTCCGGCCACCGCAAGCGGAGCAGGGGACTGGGCGTAAGTGCAAACAGGTTTTATTATTGGTTTAAGGTTTAGGGTTTAGGGTTTAGGGTCCTGGGGCTTAGGGTTTAGGATTGAGGGTTTAGAGTTTAGGTTGGGATGTTCCCGCTAATGCCAAAATTGAACAGCCCTTAATTGGGATTATAAAAGGGCGCGCCATAATCCCTATTAAGGACTACTAGGCTATACATAAGGGGGAACATCCCAAGCTGTAGGAAGTTAGGGACTTAGGTATCTTATGTTCCCTTTCAATGACCTTTTGGGGGAAGGCTGTAGGGCAACTGTTTCCCTGCAAGTACTCTACTAGCACTCAGAACCAGTAGGTTTTAGGACTTCGGAGGTTCTGCATGTTGGGAATTTGGCGACAGGGAGCCGGACGATGTTAGGGATTCGGGCAGCTGTATGAAACTAGAGCGACAGGGGCTTGTCTTCATCCACAGCTCGTCTTCAGAAAGCTTGCGCCCAAAGCAAGAACCAGTCCAGGATTCCGCCAGTCATGCCCCTGGGTCCGGCCGCACGCTGAGAAACTGGGGTCAGTTGGAGTCTCCAAGGCTATAGTCTAAGGCTTCTTAGCTTTGGAGGGTTTAGGGTTTAGGGTTTAGGGTTTAGGGTTTAGGGTTTAGGGTTTAGGGTTTAGGGTTTAGGATTTAGGGTTTAGGGTGAATGTCACTGGGGGTGTTCTAAATCAGGGGCCCTTACGAACTTACGAAGTGTGGTATGCTGCGATAACAGGAAACTTTCAGGAAAGGATAAAGTGCCCTTTAATGTAGAGCAATGTCCCCCCACCCCCCACACGGACTTGGGTGTTGGATGGCACTTCGTCTATGCGCGAGCCATCGCGAGCCGCTTGTTTAGCGTTGCCCACACCCTGTCAGCCCGCCTCCGCGAACATGGCCGGCCGTGAGTCCGAGAGCCAGGACCTCGCTGCATCGTTGCAGGACAATGAGGCCACCCCTGCGGAGGAGGAGCAGCTCGTGGACTCGAGGACACCTGCTCGCGAGGTGGGCCCGTTGCAGTATAGGTGGTTTTTTTACACATCTTTACATGCAGCATATGGTCGTCAGCGTATCTATACTAGATGTTCCTATCATTTTTTCAATGGCCCCGGGCCTTCATCAGAGGCGCAGCTGGGGGCGCCGGAGTTCGCGCGGCGCTGGGCGCGGCGCGCGGCCGGCGTGGCGGCACTGGGTCTCATGGTCTTCGCCGTGGCGCCCAAGCTGGGCCTGCCGGTGGGTGCCAAGTCCACGGAGTTCTTGGAAGGCGTTGGTGGGGATGCTTGGCATACGCTCGAGTCAGAGCTGGATGCGTCCAAGGAGCTGCCGACGGTCGGCCTCGCCCACATCAGTCCGGCAGCCGGCCAGGTGCTGTGCGTGATCGACGTGGCCCAAGCCGTGGCGCGCGTGATGCTGACGGGCACGTTCATCAAGTTCTCGACGGTGGCCTGCGACTTTGACAGGATCCAGGCTGTCAAGAAGCGCCCGGTGAGGAACGACGAGCGGGAGACGTGCGCCTCCGGCATCTTCGGCATCCTACTGTCGGTGGAGCTTGGCATGGGTGTGATCGCCTCCTCCATCTCTACGTGCTCGGGCTCACTGAACGTCCCTGCGAATTGCGCAGCGAACATCGGCGCTTTCACAGGCGGCCTTTCTGTGCTGATGCAATCGACTCTCTCCGCCGACCTGATCTGCAACAAAGGCGTCAAGGCCGGCAAGCTGACCCCAGAAGCCAAGATCGACGCCGTGGTTTCTGCTGCTACGACAGGTAAGATCACCAAGCAGAAGAAGCAGGTCTCGAAGAGTGTGTACCAGTATCTCAAGAAGGCCGGCGTCGACGTGAGCACTCTGCCAGTGCCACCGGCGGTGGCGAACGACGCCGTGTACGGTGCAGTTGCCAGGTGCGTGGCCCAGCTGGACTTGGGTGCCACCTTCGTCATGAGGTTTGCCATCATCTTGGCGGACACCACCATCCACTGCACCCCAGGAGTCGTGGAAACCGAGGGCCGCGTTTGCGCTGTGGACATCACAGGCATCCTCGCCGTGCTGAGCCTGTCCGTCCGCTTCTTCTCCCTGGCCAGCAACTCGTGCGTGAACATCGTGGGCCGTGCGGACAAGGACGCCAACTGCGTGGCCGCTTGCTCGGGCATCACCGGCTCCACCATGGCCATGACCTCCTCGGGCATGAACTTGGACGCTGCCTGCCGCAAGGCCTTTGGCAAGTGGGACCCGGACGCCTGGCCAAGCCAGCTGGGGCCTGTCAGCGCCTCCGGCCAGACCCACGGCGAGGAGCTCCATGTCCCTGCCAGGGATGGCAACACCATCATCGCAGAGCCGTGAGACGAAGCTGCATGGGCCGAAAAGCGTGCTTCCAATGTGGCAAGGTATTTTAGTTTTCGTGATCCTTGTGTTTTCCATACACGACCTTGACGAATTTTACAGACGGCTTCTTCGCGGCGCTGTGCGACCCCATCGGCTTGTCATTTCTCAACAGCCCCTGGTCACAGGCCATTGTGCAGAGAGTGGCAGTCGCGGGCACGGGCACAGCTCTGCGCGACAGCCGCGAAGGCTCTGAGATGCCGAGAAGGCTCGCAGATGCCTCGATCGTCTTCCTGGTGCACTGCTATGGAGGATCGAGACTCAGGAGCCTCTGAAAGTAGGAGTTTGGGCTCTGACCCTACCTTAACCAAAGTCTCCCGATCCTCCAAGTGACGCGCCCGCTCCCTCCCCAGTCGATCCATAACGGCTCGGCAGGCTCCTGCAGGCTGATGCTTTGAGAGCTCAGTCGGTTTTGACAATTCGGAAGCAGAGCATGGTTTGCGGTCTCTAAATGCAGTCACGGCCATGCGCTCTGTGCCTTGATCCCATCGTCCGCGGCAAGGAGGAACAGAGCGCCCTTGCCCAGCAGCAGATCTGGGGGGTGGCTGCGCTCAGTCGTCGCTCGTGCCTCTGCCTGCTCCGAGGTCAGCCGCTGCCTGACGAGGAGCTGCGGCAGGCTGGTTTTAAGGGTTGCCTTGTCAAGTTGTGTTTCAGCAACCTTCGGCATGTGACTACACTATACGGCAGTTCCTGGCATACATGACGGGTATTACGGCCTGGTGGAAGAATCGTGCTGTACGGGTTGAGCTTGGTCTACTCGTACTATTCAGACGTCTGCTAAGTTCAGGGCTCCATGGGGCTCAGGGTGGAACCCATCAGCTTCTTTCGCCCAACACATGTGTCCCTAAAGGGCTCCCTGGCAGATGCCTGGCATGGCCCGTGCAGTCCCCTGAGTTCTTTGAAAGGGTCCATTAAAGACATGAGGGGTTTAGGGGTTTAGGGGTTTAGGGGTTTAGGGTTTAGGGGTTTAGGGGTTTAGGGGTTTAGGGTTTAGGGTTTTGGGGGTTTAGGGGTTTAGGGGTTAGGGTTTAGGGTTTAGGGTTTGGGGTCTAGGGTTCAGGGCCTGAAGAGTTTGAATAGGCCCTAGATCTCTACACCCCCCAACCCCCCCCAAATAGGCCCGAGTGCCCCAGAAAGTTTAGGGTTTGGAAGCTCTTGGGTTCCTTGGTCGGCTTGGGGTTTTATAGGGTTTTGGGGTTTAGGGTTTAGCGTCTAGGGTTTCGGGTTGTATAGGGTTTTTGGGGCTTAGGCCTGTGAAGCCCCCAAACGCAGAACTCTCACAACCCTACGAGGCAAAAGAGCATGTAAGGCCTATGAACCTTGTCATCTCGATAAGACCTCTACACCCGATCTGCAGGGTTTAGGGTTTAGGGGTGAGGAAGTTTACGATAGTAGCTAGAGTGGGGCTTCTCTTCGCCTATAGCTTGTTTTCAGAAACCTGCGCTCAAGCCAAGTACCAGTCCAGGATTCCGCGAGTCATGCCCCTCAGTCCGGCCGCACACTGAGAAACTGGGGTCAGGGGGCGTCTCAAAGGCTTTTTAGCTTTTGGAGGTTCATGTCGCCTGGGCTGTTCAGGGCCCTTAGGACTTGTGGTACACTATGATAACACAGAGACCCCCAGAAAACGGTGGATGAGGGGCACTGATGTAGCACAATGCACAAAGACTTGGGTGTTGGATGACATGTCGACTTCGTCGCTGCGCGAGCCGCTTGTTTAGTGTTGCCCACACCGCGTCAGTCCCAGCAGTGTCCCAGCCCCGCCTCCGCGAACATGGCCGGCCGTGAGTCCGAGATCCAGGACCTCGCCGCATCTTTGCAGGACAATGAGGCCAACCCTGCGGAGGAGGAGCAGCTCGTGGACTCCAGGACGCCTGCTCGCGAGGTGGGCCGTCGCAGTAGGTGCATATAGTCCGCAGTGTATCTATATCATATAGATGTTTCTATCATGTTTTCAAGGGCCCCTTCATCAGAGGCGCAGCTGGGGGCGCCGGAGTTCGCGCGGCGCTGGGCGCGGCGCGCGGCCGGCGTGGCGGCACTGGGTCTCATGGTCTTCGCCGTGGCGCCCAAGCTGGGCCTGCCGGTGGGTGCCAAGTCCACGGAGTTCTTGGAAGGCGTTGGCGGGGAAGCCTGGCACACGCTCGAGTCAGAGCTGGATGCGTCCAAGGAGCTGCCGACGGTCGGGCTCGCCCACATCAGCCCGGCAGCCGGCCAGGTGCTGTGCGTGATCGACGTGGCCCAAGCCGTGGCACGCGTGATGCTGACGGGCACGTTCATCAAGTTCTCCACGGTGGCCTGCGACTTTGACAGGATCCAGGCTGTCAAGAAGCGCCCGGTGAGGAACGACGAGCGGGAGACGTGCGCCTCCGGCATCTTCGGCATCCTACTGTCGGTGGAGCTTGGCATGGGTGTGATCGCCTCCTCCATCTCTACGTGCTCGGGCTCACTGAACGTCCCTGCGAATTGCGCCGCGAACATCGGCGCTTTCACAGGCGGCCTTTCTGTGCTGATGCAATCGACTCTCTCCGCCGACCTGATCTGCAACAAAGGCGTCAAGGCCGGCAAGCTGACCCCAGAAGCCAAGATCGACGCCATGGTTTCTGCTGCTACGACAGGTAAGATCACCAAGCAGAAGAAGCAGGTCTCGAAGAGTGTGTACCAGTATCTCAAGAAGGCCGGCGTCGACGTGAGCACTTTGCCAGTGCCACCGGCGGTGGCGAACGATGCCGTGTACGGTGCAGTTGCCAGGTGCGTGGCCCAGCTGGACTTGGGTGCCACCTTCGTCATGAGGTTTGCCATCATCTTGGCGGACACCACCATCCACTGCACCCCAGGAGTCGTCGAAACCGAGGGCCGCGTTTGCGCGGTGGACATCACAGGCATCCTCGCCGTGTTGAGCCTGTCTGTCCGCTTCTTCTCCCTGGCCAGCAACTCGTGCGTGAACATCGTGGGCCGTGCGGACAAGGACGCCAACTGCGTGGCCGCCTGCTCGGGCATCACCGGCTCCACCATGGCCATGACCTCCTCGGGCATGAACTTGGACGCTGCATGCCGCAAGGCCTTTGGCAAGTGGGACCCGGACGCCTGGCCAAGCCAGCTGGGGCCTGTCAGCGCCTCCGGCCAGACCCACGGCGAGGAGCTCCATGTCCCTGCCAGGGATGGCAACACCATCATCGCAGAGCCGTGAAGATGCCGTGAAGAGACGAAGCTGCATGGGCCGACAAGAGGGCTTCCAATGTGGCAAAGTATTCTACTTTTCGTGATGCGTTTTGCATGCACAATGCTGGCAAATTTTACAGACAGCTTTTTCGCGGCGCTGTGCGACCCCATCGGCTTGTCATTTCTCAACAGCCTCTGGTCACAGGCCATTGTGCAGAGAGTGGCAGTCGCGGGCACGGGCACAGCTCTGCGCGACAGCCGCGAAGGCTCTGAGATGCCGAGAAGGCTCGCAGATGCCTCGATCGTCTTCCTGGTGCACTGCTATGGAGGATCGAGACTCAGGAGCCTCTGAAAGTAGGAGTTTGGGCGCTGACCCTACCTTAACCAAAGTCTCCCGATCCTCCAAGTGACGCGCCCGCTCCCTCCCCAGTCGATCCATAACGGCTCGGCAGGCTCATGCAGGCTGATGCTTTGAGAGCTCAGTCGGTTTTGACAATTCGGAAGCAGAGCATGGTTTGCGGTCTCTAAATGTAGTCACGGCCATGTGCTCTGTGCCTGTGCCTTGCTCCCATCGTCCACGACAATGAGAAACAGAGCGCCATGCCCAGCAGCAGATCTGGGGGGTGGCTGCACTCAGTCGTCGCTCGTGCCTCTGCCTGCTCCGAGGTCAGCCGCTGCCTGACGAGGAGCTGCGACGGGCTGGCTCAACGGTTGCCTTGTCAAGTTGTGTTTCAGCAACCTTCAGCATGTGACTATACTATACGGCAGTTCCTGGCATACATGACGGGTATTACGGCCCCCAACACACGAGCATGCTTTTGTTTTTGTGAGTGGTTTCTGCCCCAAATGCCAAAAACTCAAAATCTTCTTCCTCATAAGGGCAATGTATGTTTTTTGGTGGGAGGTGGTTAGGGTCTAGGGTTTATTGTTTAAGGTTTAGGGTTTTGGGTTTGGGTTTAGGGTGTAGAGGGGTTCTTAAGCAAACAGTAGCAGAGGTTGTGTTCCTAAAGGGCTCCCTGGCAGATGCCTGGCATGGCCCGTGCCGTCCCCTAAGTTCTTTGAAAGGGTCCATTACAGACATTAGGGGTTTAGGGGTTTAGGGGTTCAGGGTTTAGGGGTTTAGGGGTTTAGGGGTTTAGGGGTTTAGGGGTTTAGGGGTTTAGGGGTTTAGGGGTTTAGGGTTTGGGGTCTAGGGTTCAGGGCCTGAAGAGTTTGAATAGGCCCTAGATCTCTAAACCCCCCAACCCCCCCAAATAGGCCCGAGTGCCCCAGAAAGTTTGGGGGTTGGAAGCTCTTGGGTTCCTTGGTCGGCTTGGGGTTTTATAGGGTTTTGGGGTTTAGGGTTTAGCGTCTAGGGTTTAGGGTTTAGGGTTATATAGGGTTTTTGGGGCCTAGGCCTGTGAAGCCCCCAGACGCAGAACTCTCACAACCCTACGAGGCAAAAGAGCATGTAAGGCCTATGAACCTTGTCATCTCGATAAGACCTCTACACCCGATCTGCAGGGTTTAGAGTTTAGGGGCGAGGAAGTTTATGATAGTAGCTAGAGTGGGGCTTCTCTTCGCCTATAGCTTGTTTCAGAAAGCTGCGCTCAAGCCAAGTACCAGTCCAGGATTCCGCGAGTCATGCCCCTCAGTCCGGCCGCACACTGAGAAACTGGGATCAGGGGGCGTCTCAAAGGCTTTTTAGCTTTTGGAGGTTCATGTCGCCTGGGCTGTTCAGGGCCCTTAGGACTTGTGGTACACTATGATAACACAGAGACCCCCAGAAAACGGTGGATGAGGGGCACTGATGTAGCACAATGCACAAAGACTTGGGTGTTGGATGGCATGTCGACTTCGTCGCTGCGCGAGCCGCTTGTATAGCGTTGCCCACACCGCGTCAGTCCCAGCCCCGCCTCCGCGAACATGGCCGGCCGTGAGTCCGAGAGCCAGGACCTCGCCGCATCTTTGCAGGACAATGAGGCCACCCCTGCGGAGGAGGAGCAGCTCGTGGACTCCAGGACGCCTGCTCGCGAGGTGGGCCGTCGCAGTAGGTGCATATAGTCCGCAGTGTATCTATATCATATAGATGTTTCTATCATGTTTTGGCCCCTTCATCAGAGGCGCAGCTGGGGGCGCCGGAGTTCGCGCGGCGCTGGGCGCGGCGCGCGGCCGGCGTGGCGGCACTGGGTCTCATGGTCTTCGCCGTGGCGCCCAAGCTGGGCCTGCCGGTGGGTGCCAAGTCCACGGAGTTCTTGGAAGGCGTTGGAGGGGAAGCCTGGCACACGCTCGAGTCAGAGCTGGATGCGTCCAAGGAGCTGCCGACGGTCGGGCTCGCCCACATCAGCCCGGCAGCCGGCCAGGTGCTGTGCGTGATCGACGTGGCCCAAGCCGTGGCACGCGTGATGCTGACGGGCACGTTCATCAAGTTCTCGACGGTGGCCTGCGACTTTGACAGGATCCAGGCTGTCAAGAAGCGCCCGGTGAGGAACGACGAGCGGGAGACGTGCGCCTCCGGCATCTTCGGCATCCTACTGTCGGTGGAGCTTGGCATGGGTGTGATCGCCTCCTCCATCTCTACGTGCTCGGGCTCACTGAACGTCCCTGCGAATTGCGCCGCGAACATCGGCGCTTTCACAGGCGGCCTTTCTGTGCTGATGCAGTCGACTCTCTCCGCCGACCTGATCTGCAACAAAGGCGTCAAGGCCGGCAAGCTGACCCCAGAAGCCAAGATCGATGCCGTGGTTTCGGCTGCTACGACAGGTAAGATCACCAAGCAGAAGAAGCAGGTCTCGAAGAGTGTGTACAACTATCTCAAGAAGGCCGGCGTCGACGTGAGCACTCTGCCAGTGCCACCGGCGGTGGCGAACGATGCCGTGTACGGTGCAGTTGCCAGGTGCGTGGCCCAGCTGGACTTGGGTGCCACCTTCGTCATGAGGTTTGCCATCATCTTGGCGGACACCACCATCCACTGCACCCCAGGAGTCGTCGAAACCGAGGGCCGCGTTTGCGCGGTGGACATCACAGGCATCCTCGCCGTGCTGAGCCTGTCTGTCCGCTTCTTCTCCCTGGCCAGCAACTCGTGCGTGAACATCGTGGGCCGTGCGGACAAGGATGCCAACTGCGTGGCCGCCTGCTCGGGCATCACCGGCTCCACCATGGCCATGACCTCCTCGGGCATGAACTTGGACGCTGCCTGCCGCAAGGCCTTCGGCAAGTGGGACCCGGACGCCTGGCCAAGCCAGCTGGGGCCTGTCAGCGCCTCTGGCCAGACCCACGGCGAGGAGCTCCATGTCCCTGCCAGGGATGGCAACACCATCATCGCAGAGCCATGAAGATGCCGTGAAGACACAAAATTGGGCCGACAAGAGGGCTTCCCCAATGTGGCAAGGTATTTTTAGTTTTCGTGATCCTTGTGTTTTCCATACACGACCTTGACGAATTTTACAGACAGCTTTTTCGCGGCGCTGTGCGACCCCATCGGCTTGTCATTTCTCAACAGCCTCTGGTCACAGGCCATTGTGCAGAGAGTGGCAGTCGCGGGCACGGGCACAGCTCTGCGCGACAGCCGCGAAGGCTCTGAGATGCCGAGAAGGCTCGCAGATGCCTCGATCGTCTTCCTGGTGCACTGCTATGGAGGATCGAGACTCAGGAGCCTCTGAAAGTAGGAGTTTGGGCGCTGACCCTACCTTAACCAAAGTCTCCCGATCCTCCAGGTGACGCGCCCGCTCCCTCCCCAGTCGATCCATAACGGCTCGGCAGGCTCATGCAGGCTGATGCTTTGAGAGCTCAGTCGGTTTTGACAATTCGGAAGCAGAGCATGGTTTGCGGTCTCTAAATGTAGTCACGGCCATGTGCTCTGTGCCTGTGCCTTGATCCCATCGTCCACGACAATGAGAAACAGAGCGCCATGCCCAGCAGCAGATCTGGGGGGTGGCTGCACTCAGTCGTCGCTCGTGCCTCTGCCTGCTCCGAGGTCAGCCGCTGCCTGACGAGGAGCTGCGACAAGCTGGCTCAACGGTTGCCTTGTCAAGTTGTGTTTCAGCAACCTTCAGCATGTGACTATACTATACGGCAGTTCCTGGCATACATGACGGGTATTACGGCCCCCAACACACGAGCATGCTTTTGTTTTTGTGAGTGGTTTCTGCCCCAAATGCCAAAAACTCAAAATCTTCTTCCTCATAAGGGCAATGTATGTTTTTTGGTGGGAGGTGGTTAGGGTCTAGGTTTATTGTTTAAGGTTTAGGGTTTGGGGTTTGGGTTTAGGGTGTAGAGGGGTTCTTAAGCAAACAGTAGCAGAGGTTGTGTTCCTAAAGGGCTCCCTGGCAGATGCCTGGCATGGCCCGTGCAGTCCCCTAAGTTCTTTGAAAGGGTCCATTACAGACATTAGGGGTTTAGGGGTTTAGGGGTTCAGGGTTTAGGGCTTTAGGGGTTTAGGGGTTTAGGGGTTTAGGGGTTTAGGGGTTTAGGGGTTTAGGGGTTTAGGGGTTTTGGGGTTTTGGGGTTTTGGTGTTTTGGGGTTTTGGGGTTTTGGGGTTTGGGGGTTAGGGTTTAGGGCTTGGGGTCTAGGGTTCAGGGCCTGAAGAGTTTGAATAGGCCCTAGATCTCTACACCCCCCAACCCCCCCCAAATAGGCCCGAGTGCCCCAGAAAGTTTGGGGTTTGGAAGCTCTTGGGTTCCTTGGTCGGCTTGGGGTTTTATCGGGTTTTGGGGTTTAGGGTTTAGCGTCTAGGGTTTAGCGTCTAGGGTTTCGGGTTGTATAGGGTTTTTGGGGCTTAGGCCTGTGAAGCCCCCAAACGCAGAACTCTCACAACCCTACGAGGCAAAAGAGCATGTAAGGCCTATGAACCTTGTCATCTCGACAAGACCTCGACACCCGATCTGCAGGGTTTAGGGTTTAGGGTGAGGAAGTTTACGATAGTAGCTAGAGCGGGGCTTCTCTTCGCCTATAGCTTGTTTTCAGAAACCTGCGCTCAAGCCAAGTACCAGTCCAGGATTCCGCGAGTCATGCCCCTCAGTCCGGCCGCACACTGAGAAACCGGGGTCAGGGGGCGTCTCAAAGGCTTTTTAGCTTTTGGAGGTTCAGGTCGCCTGGGCTGTTCAGGGCCCTTAGGACTTGTGGTACACTATGATAACACAGAGACCCCCAGAAAACGGTGGATGAGGGGAACTGATGTAGCACAATGCACAAAGACTTGGGTGTTAGATGACATGTCGACTTCGTCGCTGCGCGAGCCGCTTGTTTAGTGTTGCCCACACCGCGTCAGTCCCAGCCCCGCCTCCGCGAACATGGCCGGCCGTGAGTCCGAGAGCCAGGACCTCGCCGCATCTTTGCAGGACAATGAGGCCAACCCTGCGGAGGAGGAGCAGCTCGTGGACTCCAGGACGCCTGCTCGCGAGGTGGGCCGTCGCAGTAGGTGCATATAGTCCGCAGTGTATCTATATCATATTATAGATGTTTCTATCATGTTTTCAAGGGCCCCTTCATCAGAGGCGCAGCTGGGGGCGCCGGAGTTCGCGCGGCGCTGGGCGCGGCGCGCGGCCGGCGTGGCGGCACTGGGTCTCATGGTCTTCGCCGTGGCGCCCAAGCTGGGCCTGCCGGTGGGTGCCAAGTCCACGGAGTTCTTGGAAGGCGTTGGCGGGGAAGCCTGGCACACGCTCGAGTCAGAGCTGGATGCGTCCAAAGAGCTGCCGACGGTCGGCCTCGCCCACATCAGCCCGGCAGCCGGCCAGGTGCTGTGCGTGATCGACGTGGCCCAAGCCGTGGCACGCGTGATGCTGACGGGCACGTTCATCAAGTTCTCCACGGTGGCCTGCGACTTTGACAGGATCCAGGCTGTCAAGAAGCGCCCGGTGAGGAACGACGAGCGGGAGACGTGCGCCTCCGGCATCTTCGGCATCCTACTGTCGGTGGAGCTTGGCATGGGTGTGATCGCCTCCTCCATCTCTACGTGCTCGGGCTCACTGAACGTCCCTGCGAATTGCGCCGCGAACATCGGCGCTTTCACAGGCGGCCTTTCTGTGCTGATGCAGTCGACTCTCTCCGCCGACCTGATCTGCAACAAAGGCGTCAAGGCCGGCAAGCTGACCCCAGAAGCCAAGATCGACGCCGTGGTTTCTGCTGCTACGACAGGTAAGATCACCAAGCAGAAGAAGCAGGTCTCGAAGAGTGTGTACCAGTATCTCAAGAAGGCCGGCGTCGACGTGAGCACTCTGCCAGTGCCACCGGCGGTGGCGAACGATGCCGTGTACGGTGCAGTTGCCAGGTGCGTGGCCCAGCTGGACTTGGGTGCCACCTTCGTCATGAGGTTTGCCATCATCTTGGCGGACACCACCATCCACTGCACCCCAGGAGTCGTGGAAACCGAGGGCCGCGTTTGCGCGGTGGACATCACAGGCATCCTCGCCGTGCTGAGCCTGTCCGTCCGCTTCTTCTCCCTGGCCAGCAACTCGTGCGTGAACATCGTGGGCCGTGCGGACAAGGATGCCAACTGCGTGGCCGCCTGCTCGGGCATCACCGGCTCCACCATGGCCATGACCTCCTCGGGCATGAACTTGGACGCTGCCTGCCGCAAGGCCTTTGGCAAGTGGGACCCGGACGCCTGGCCAAGCCAGCTGGGGCCTGTCAGCGCCTCCGGCCAGACCCACGGCGAGGAGCTCCATGTCCCTGCCAGGGATGGCAACACCATCATCGCAGAGCCGTGAGACGAAGCTGCATGGGCCGAAAAGCGTGCTTCCAATGTGGCAAGGTATTTTTAGTTTTCGTGATCCTTGTGTTTTCCATACACGACCTTGACGAATTTTACAGACGGCTTTTTCGCGGCGCTGTGCGACCCCATCGGCTTGTCATTTCTCAACAGCCCCTGGTCACAGGCCATTGTGCAGAGAGTGGCAGTCGCGGGTACGCAAACAGCTCTGCGCGACAGCCGCGAAGGCTCTGAGATGCCTAGAAGGCTCGCAGATGCCTCGATCGTCTTCCTGGTGCACTGCTATGGAGGATCCGGGGAGACTTAGAACCTTCGAACGTAATGAGGAGTTAAGGTTTAGCCGGTTTAGGGGCTAGGTGGTTGAGGGTTTAGAGTTTATAGACTGTTGAAGTAGGAGTTAGGTGTTACTTCCGCTTTGACCCTTCTTTCACATTGTAAACCCCTTACAAAGGGAAGTAACCCTTCCTATCCTAGGGTACTCTGGGATGTGCAAGTATGTTATTACGTAGGCGTAGAAGTGGGATAGCCCAGGTACTTATGACGCTACCTCAGACTAGCCACCAAGTCTCCCGATCCTCCAAGTGACGCGCCCGCTCACCCCAGTCGATCCACAACGGCTCGGCAGGCTCATGCAGGCTGATGCTTTGAGAGCTCAGTCGGTTTTGACAATTCGGAAGCAGAGATTGGTCGCGGTCTCTAAATGTAGTCACGGCCATGTGCTCTGTGCCTTGATCCCATCGTCCACGACAATGAGAAACAGAGCGCCATGCCCAGGCAGCAGATCTGGGGGTGGTTGGACTCAGTCGTCGCTCGTGCCTCTGCCTGCTCCGAGGTCAGCCGCTGCCTGACGAGGAGCTGCGGCAGGCTGGTTTTGAGGTTTGCCTTGTCAAGTTGTGCTTCAGGAATCTTCAGCATGCGACTGCACACGTTCTATACTACACGGCAGTTTCTGGCAGACATGACGGGTATTACGGCCTGGTGGAGGAATCTTGCTGGACGGGTTGAGCTTGGTCTACTCGTACTATTCAGACGCCTGCTAAGTTCAGGGCTCCATGGGCCTAGGGTTGAACCCATCAGATTCTTTTGCTCAAGCAGCACACGAGGAGTCTTTTAAACACATAAAGCCTTAAGAGTTTGAATAGGCTCAAAACGTTTCTAAATCCAAAACCCCCCCCTCCCCAAAATAGGCGAGTGCCCAGAAAGCTTGTGGTTTGGAATCTCCGATCTGGCGTGGTTGCAGCGGTTTAGGGTGTAGGGTTTAGGGTATACGGTTTATAGGGTTGAACGGTGGGTTTAGGTTTAGGGTTTAGGGTTTATAGGGTTTAACGGTTTAGGATTTAGGGTTTATGGGGTGAAACGGTTTAGGTTTAGGTGTTAGGGTTTAGGGCTCAATCGTCGCTCGTGCCTCGGTCTGCGCCGAGGTCAGCCTGACGAGGAGCTGTGGCAGGGGGGTTTTTTGAGGTTTAGGGTTTAGGGTTTAGGGTTTAGGGTTTAGGGTTGTTCTCCAGCACATTATTGCCACACGTTCTATACTATAGATGGCAGTTCCTGGTAGCATGGGCGGCGATCGGCCGGGGTGCAAGAATCTTGCTGTACAGAGTGTACGTGTAACCTAACGACTCCAACCTGTAGGAGGAGGGCCCCAGCCCTCTTGTCATGAGCGGAGTCATAAGGGCCCTAAACCCTAAACCCCAAACCCTAAACGTTAAACCCGAAAAAGTAAAGGACTCTACGTTATCTGAAGCCACGAAAGGGGTTGAGCCCTGCAAACTCCTAAAGGTAGGACCTCAACCGTGAATCCCTTAACCCGCGACCCTCCCAAATCTTAGGTCCCTAAACCCTGAACCCTATAAACCCTAAAACTTAAACTCTAAACATTAAATCCTAAACCTTAAACCCTATAAGCCCTAAGCCCTAAATCCTTAACTAAACCCGAACCCTAGATCGCTGAGCATTTGCCTGCAACACAGGAAGATGGCTGCCAGCAGCCGAGCGCGAGGCCAGCGCCCAAGGCAGCTGGACCTTTTCCAAAGAAAGAGGTGCCCTTGAGATGTTTCCCCCTTATGCTAACCCCTAAACCCTAAACCCTAAACCCTAAACCCTAAACCCTAAACCCTAAACCCTAAACCCTAAACCCTAAACCCTAAACCCTAAACCCTAAACCCTAAACCCAAAGGCGGTAGTAAGGGCTTCCGAGGGTTTAGAAAAAAAGTGTTGTTGACGAGGTGCGAGTCTGAAACTGCGAGCTTCCCGAACTGAGGAGTCCTTTGAGTGGGATTCTGCCTTTTTGTTGGGTTGCGGCAGGCTTTAGGGTTTAGGGTTTTTTTGGTGCTACCAAGTTTGGTTTAGGGCTTACGCATTTAGGGGGTACACATGGGCAGGGTCAGGGTTGCTTGAAGAGAGAAGCAGGGTCTTCAGTGTTGTCTACCCCCTAGGTTCCCCCCCTTAAATAACCTTAATTCGGCTTAGCTATCCTTAAAGTTGCCCTAAATGTGGCGCTCGCACAAAGGTGACAGCCACGTCAAAGAGGCTGAGTGGCAGGACCAATATGACAAGGACCAATCTTCAGAGGATGCTGGAAATTGGACTGTGGGCCCTGCTGCCAAGGAGGCTTACGTCGCATCCCTCGACGATGACCTCGCTGCCGTCAACCGTGACCATCTCAACCAAGCAAGGAACATTCTTGGCGAGTATGCAGAGCAAGGATCTTTCTATGGATGCAAAGTCTATCAACGGACTGAGTGACTGACAGGGCGGCAGAAGCACCTTTCACCTGTACTACTCTGGCGAGGAGGGTGACTCCAAGGGCTGGTACATGGGGCCCCCTCTCGGAGGGGATACTGTCGATCCGCCAGAGCGCATGGCAGGAAGCACCTGGCATGCCTACAGGCACTGAGGCACACCCAGTCGAAGTGGAGGAGCCGACGAAGGGACTCCATGGCGAATGCCGAGGAGTTCAAGATGGAACTGCGATTCTGCGCAGGGCGTCTACCAGGGTGAGCTCTGCCGCCAGAGGGAGCCTATGCTCAGCAAGAGGATGCTGGCAACGCTGCTTGGCCCCAGGGCTTATGAGGCCATGGATCCAGATGTGTCGTCGCAGGCGTTCGACGACAAGTCGCAGGGCTTTTTACCCTAAACCCTAAACCCTAAACCCTAAACCCTGAACCCTGAACCCTAAACCCTAAACCCTAAACCCTAAACCCTAAACCCTAAACCCTTAACCCTTAAACCCTAAACCCTAAACCCTAAACCCTAAACCCTAAGCTCTGCAGAAGAGGCTAGCTGGGCACCACAAACATGGAGGTGACTGGGAACGGTTCTCACCACCTGGCCTGCTGTCATTGTGGACGCAGAGCCGGCTGACGATGAAGTGGCAGAGCAGGCTGCAGAGTGGCATGTAAAGGGCGGATGCTGTGGTTGCTCTATTGGGGGTTTTCTTGCTTGTCCTACTCCAAAATACCTCAAAGCAAGCGGCAAGCATGTGGTTGAGGGCCGCTGATTCAACTGTACAAGCTTTTGCCAGCAACAGCCAGAAAAAGGAAGCCCTCCGTACCTCTTCGCCTACGGGATAGATCAGAACAATGCGGACGCTGCGTGCAGTGCAATTGCTTCGCAAGGGGGCCAGCATCATTCGGAGTTCGGGGTTTAGGTGTGAGGGTTTGAAGACCCTAAACCCCAGCCCAAACCCGAAGCCCTGAACACTCCTGTTCCGTTGGGCTGTCAGGGGTGGCAGCCCGAAGCTCCAAACCCCTAAACTTTAGACCCTAAACTTTAGACCCTAAACCTTAGACCCTAAACCCCCAAATCTTGAAGCTTTAGGGTCTAGGGTTGAGGGTTTATAGTGTTTAGGGTAAAACCCTAGGCCCCTAACCCCGACACCCTCAGAACCCTAAACCCTAAACCCTAAACCCTAAACCCGAAACCCGAAACCCGAAACCGGAGCTCAAGAGGCAAGCATGCAGTTGGCCATTGTCCGTTCGCTTAGTCCCGACCCTGAGCCTTCCCTTGAACTTGTCCTCCGTGTGTGCCTTAGGGTTCAGGGTTTAGGGTTTAGGGTTTAGGGTTCAGGGTTTAGGGTTCAGGGTTTGGGGTCTAGGGCTGAGGGGGTTTCAGGGCTTCATGCTGGGCTTAGGTGTTTCAGGTTTACGGTTAGGGGTTTTTAGGGTTGAGGGTGCCATGACCTCCAACAGTACCTGCTTTTTTTGTTGGGGGGGGGGGGGGGTGGGGCCCTAAACCCTTGACCCTAAACCTTAAACCCTTAACCCGGTGGGGGAGGTGGGGTTGGGTTTGCAGGGTAGGTGTAGGGTTTAGGGGGACGGGAGGGCCGGGACTCTCTGGATTGGTTGCCAGCGATTCGCTATGCTTTCTATATCCTTAGGTTGCTGAACGAACCCAAAAACCCTAAACCCTAAACTTGAGATGTTTCCCCCTTTTACTACTTAATCGCGATGATGGTGCTCCCATTCTAATCCTTATCGAGGACTGTTAGAAAAAGGGGGAACATCCCAGCCCTAGACCCTGAACCCTGTAAACCCTAAACACTAAACCCCAAACCCCAAACCCCAAACCCTAAACCCTAAACCCTAAACCCTAAACCCTAAACCCTAAACCCTAAACCCTAAACCCTAAACCCTAGAGGACCTGGACTTCGATCGTCTGGCCGTGCAGGCCAAGGTTTTCTAGTGGCTTCCGAGCTTTCATCTGGGCGGTTTAGGGTTTGGGTTTAGGGTTTTGGTTTGCCCCCCCCCCCCCTCCCTAGACCTTAACCCTAAACTGAAGCGAGCTGCGGGCGCTGCGGTGAGCAGCAGCGAGCGTGCAGCCCCTGCCAGCTCCGGAGCTGTCGCGTGAGTCGCAGCGAAGGAGCTCCGTTAGCTGCACCCGGAAGGTGCCGGCGCACGCGACAGGCGTGCTGGAGCATCAGAGAAATATATGACCCTAAACCTTGGGCGGAACGCGACCATCCTAGAATTTAGGGTTTAGGATTTAGGGTTCAGGGCAGACCCTCCCGGACCATTTCTGGAGCCTTTCCGGGCTCCTCCCGGACCATTTCTGAACCTTTTTGGGCACCTCCCAGCCTTTTTGGGCTCCTCCCAGACCATGTCTGAGCCTTTCTGGGCTCCTCTTTGCGCTTCTCCGGACCATTTCGCTCCTCCCGGCCCGGACCATTTCTGGAGCCTTTGAGCCTTTTTGAGTTCCTCGGACCCTAAACCCTAAACCCTAAACCCTAAACCCTAAACCCTAAACCCTAAACCCTAAACCCTAAACCCTAAACCCTAAACCCTAAACCCTAAATGATAGGGTTTAGGGTTTTGGTTTCCCCCCCCCCTCCCTAGACCTTAATTAACCCTAAACCCTAAACCCTAACCTAAACCCTAAACCCTAAACCCTAAACCCTAAACCCTAAACCCTAAACCCTAAACCCTAAACCCTAAACCCTAAACCCTAAACCCTAAACCCTAAACCCTAAACCCTAAACCCTTGACTCCCCTTGTCAGGGTTTCGGGTTTCGGGCTTAGGGTTTTAGCGTTTCGTGGTTTTGGGTTTAGGGTTTAGGGCCCCTGGCTCCAGGACCCTATACCCTGAAGCTTTGAGCCGGCCCTGTCGCCTTGTCAAAGGGTTTAGGGTATAGGGTTTAGGGTTTAGGGTTTAGGGTTTAGGGTGCCCCTGCAAGGGCCCCCTCACGGCTTTGCCCTGAGTCGCAACTAAACCCTAAACCCTAAACCCTAAACCCTAAATCATAAACCTTAAACCCTAGACCCTAAACCCTAAACCCTAAACCCTAAATCCCAAAAGAACCGTCGCAGGGAAAGGTCCAGGCTCTCAACAAGCAGGGCCTCTGGCCAAAGAGAGGCCGGTCCCCTTGTTCTTTTGGGTCGCTGAGCAGGGCTTGGGGTTTGGGGTTTAGGGTTTAGGGTTCGGGTTTCGGGTTTAGGGTTTAGGGTTTTAGGGTTTAGGATTTAGGGTTTAGGGTTTAGTGTTTAGGGTTTTGGGCAGTTAGGCTCAAACTTTAGGGTTTCAGTTCTGCAGAGCCCCATCTCCGGGCGAGAAGAAGCCCGAAGCCCTAAAACCCTAGACCCCAAACCCCAAACCCCCAAAACCTAAACCCCCGAAACCCCTGAACCCTAAACCCCGAAACCCAAAACCCCTAAACCCTAAACCCCTAAACACTAAAGCCTTAAATCCCTAAGCACTCAGTTCCCCATTTCGCTCTGAGGGGTTTTAGGGGCTCGCAGGTTTGCGGGCTTCAAGCAAGCATTCAGATGTGCAATAAATAGGTGGCTTGGTCTAGAAAGCCTTTCATATTAGTCTCAGAGCGGTGCGTTTGTGTGTTTGGTTCTGCTGTTGAGATGGAGGCCGTGCGATATGCCCAGACCTAGTTATTTAGGGGATGCCGCTGGCTTCAGACTTTCAGGCGTTGGGGGGATCGACGTTTGAGTCTTTAGGGGTGTTTGAGGTTGTGGGTTTTTGCCCCGGGTTTGGCTTAAGACCCCCCCCTAAAGGGGCAGTCATTTTAGAAACCGCTACATGGCTTCGTGCCTGAGATGCTGTTTCTCCTAGCTCCTAGCTAGACAACTTACTGCTTGAGGCTTGCGGTTCAAGGGTTTAGGGTTCAGGCTTCCCTAAACCCTAAACCCAAACCCTAAACCCTAAACCCTAAACCCTAAACCCTAAACCTTCAGCCCTAAACCCTAAACCCTAAACCCTAAACCCTAAGCCCTAAACCCTAAACCCTAAACCCTAAACCCTAAACCCTAAACCCTAAACCCTAAACCCTAAACCCTAAACCCTAAGCCCTAAACCCTAAACCCTAAACCCTAAACCCTAAACCCTAAACCCTAACCCCTGAACCCGAAACCACATCTCCGGCTCCGAGAGCACCTCGGACACGCCCGAAAGACCTTGTCAAGCCGAGATGTAGTCGGCTCAGCAGATGCCCAAAGGGATCCTAGCAAGCTTTAACATTAGGGTTTAGGGTTTAGGGTTTAGGGTTTAGGGTTCAGGGTTCAGGGTTCAGGGTTCAGGGTTCAGGGTTCAGGGTTCGGGGTTCAGCATCTCATGATCGAGCTTTCGCTAGTCAACTTCTCAAGCGACGGGGACATACCCGCCCGCCCTAAGAATCCCACACCATTATGAAAAACACAGAGTTGACAAACCCTAAACCCTAAACCCTAAACCCTAAATCCTTGAACCTATGACTCCATACCCTAGGGCCCTACACCGCACGCCTTAAGGCACCTAAAGCCCTCAACCATCCCAGGCCGAAGCCTAAAACTGTAGGCCCTGAACCCTCAACCCGCGGTGCTGAACCCCTAAACTCGGCCTGAACCACCTTAGATGCTGAACCTTAGAATCTAGGCCCTGAGCCTTAAATCTTCGGCTGAACCCTAAACCCTAAACCCTAAACCCTAAACCCTAAACCCTAAACCCTAAACCCTAAACCCTAAACCCTAACCCTAAACCCTAAACCCTATACCCTAAACCCTAAACCCTAAACCCTAAACCCTAAACCCTAAACCCTAAACCCTAAACCCTAAACCCTAAACCCTAAACCCTAAACCCTAAACCCTAAACCCAAGCAAACCCTGGCCCCGAACCAGAAACCCTAGGTTCTGAAGCCTAAATCTGGCTGGGGCCTAGACTGGGCCCTGAACCCTAAACGCTAGGAATCGGCTAACCCTAAACCGAAGGCCCCAAACGCCAGGGTTCTGAACCCTAAACTCCGGCCTGGGCTGGGCCCTCAACTGGGCCCTGAACCCTAAACCCTACGCGCGGCCAATGCCCACGAACCGTTGGGCCAATGCCGGACGAACCGTTGGGCCAATGCCCACGAACAGTTGGGCCAATGCTCACTTGGAGCTTAAGGTGTATGTAATTATAGGTAAGTGTGGTTTAGGGTTTAAGGTCTAAGTATTTCCCCCTTGAAAGGGCACATGCATGCTCCACTTGGAATTCTAAACAATCCTAAGCCCTGTGGAATTTTCTTCTCCTCAGGTGGTGTACATCCTCCAAACCAGCCACCCCAAACCCTAAACCCTGAACCTATTGATCGGGTTTGGATTTAGGGCATATTGAGGACTTTTTCAATACTAGCTGGCGTGGGGGAGGGGGGTGGAGGGGGGGGAGAAGTGCTGTCAAAGAACCGGTCTCTGATGAGGAAACTCTCTGCGAGGCAGTTTTGGACTACTTCTTCTAATTGTTGCTGCTGCTGTTGCGTCAGCAGCTTGTCTCGTCTTTCCCAACTTGCAGCAGCCCTTGATTTGTGCTCGTTTCTGGCATGTCTTTATCACTCACGCGCTGTGCTGTTGACGCATACCCGTCTCTTCGTAGATGGTGATTCAGTGGCACAGAACCGCAGCTATCAACTTTAGTTTCCGAAGAGGTCTTGGGAAGGAGACTAAGATACTGATCACCCCGAGCAGCAGATGCTGCATGTCGTTGGGCATGATTCGCGACTTCCACAAGCACAGCTACCTCGTTGCCAAGGTGCCGCTCGCCTGTTTGCCGCGTTCGTCTTGGAATGTGTGTTGTGGAGCATGGGGTGGGCGGGGGCGTGGTTGGGGGTGGTACAGGTGGTGGGGGTGGTGGCTGGCATAGGCGGTACAGGTCAGGGGCGGTAAGGGTGGTAGAGGGGTGTGGGGAAGGGTCAGCAGGGGTGTTAGGTCTGCTAGCACTAGGTGGTGGCTCGGTAGAGGGGGTAGGGTGGAAGGCATGCGAGTTCTTGTGGTAGGTTCCCGGATCACAATTCGGTTCCAGACTTTTCTGAATACGTGTTGTCCTGGCAGTTCCGGGGGTGCTGAGCCGCAGCGGGCGCCATGGGCTGCGAAAGCAGCTCGTCACAGAGCTCTGCTACGTCAAGAAGCTCCCCGAGCTGCTCTCACTCAGGATTGCAAATGCCATGGGCTGTGGGGTGGTGGGGTAGGAAGCAGAACTGGCTCCGATTGCTCTGGTCTGGGCTGTGGGATCCGCGCTACGTCCGCATCAGCTTCGTCTATTTGGAGGGGTGGCATCGCTTTGTGGAACATCATCTTTCAGATGGAAGCATTCTGCAAACGGAAAAACATGGCGATGGCGTAGTCACCTGGACGGAGAACCCCGACTTTGAAAGACGCACGCTCGCGAAGAGGTTCAAGATCATGAAGTGCACGGGCGGATTTGGACCTTATGTTTCCCAGCTCAAACGGAGGAGCCTTGATCATCACGGATTTTACAGCTTGTCTTCGGCGAATTGCGGGGACTATGCATTGTCTCAGACGTCTGGTTGGGACCGTTGCGAGCACAAATCGGATTGGCAAAGCTCAGACATACCCAGATTAGTGCGGCTCAGGCATCGCTCCGAGCGCGAAGAGGTGTTCGAAGCCTTATGAGACGCTTTGCTGTGTAAGTTTAGATCCTGTTTAGCTCGTGTTTCAAGTCAATGAGGTAGCTGGAAATACACAAGCAAGGTGCCAAAGGGATCGATCTTGTGACATCTTGAGGCTATCTATCTGGCTCAACCCAAAGCCCTAAGCCCTAGACCCTAAACCCCAAACCCTAAACCCTAATCCATGTCCCCAGTGCTGTGCGTTAAGGGCACCACAGCCTAACGCGCCCGAACTGTCTAACTGCGACATCAGAGGCTCCCCGGGGTCCAAGGCCTCGTCATATGGGCTTCCGACAATAGGGGTACCTTACTGGGTCCTTGTTATGCAGGAATCCTACGATTTGGGGGTCTAGATTCAGGGCCCGTATGTTCGTAAACCCCCATGTGGCGCATGCAGCTACATAGCATGCAGCCTTAAACTCCTAGCCCCTAACACTTTAATAACCCTGCACCCCAACAACTAGTCAACCTGAACCCTAAAACCCTAAACCCTAAAACCCTAAAACCCTAAAACCCTAAAACCCCAAAACCCCAAAACCCCAAAACCCCAAAACCCCAAAACCCCAAAACCCCAAAACCCCAAAACCCCACAACCCCAAAACCCCAAAACCCCAAAACCCCAAAACCCCACAACCCCAAAACCCCAAAACCCCAAAACCCCACAACCCCACAACCCCAAAACCCCAAAACCCCAAAACCCCAAAACCCCAAAACCCCAAAACCCCAAAACCCCAAAACCCCACAACCCCAAAACCCCAAAACCCCAAAGCCCTAAAACCCTAAAACCCTAAAACCCTAAACCCGAAACTCTAAACCCTGAACCGCCCGGGTTGAAGGTGTGAGACATACTTTGAGACTGCAAAACCCTAAACCCTAAACCCTAAACCCTAAACCCTAAACCCTAAACCCTAAACCCTAAACCCTAAACCCTAAACCCTAAACCCTAAACCCTGCAAAATCGAAGATCCCTCCGTGGCCCCAAAGAGTCTCGCGATCGTGCCATCGCCTTCCTCCGTTTTTCGTTTTGTTTTGGCTGTGTTTTTGGGATTAGGGTTTAGGGTTTAGGGTTTAGGCTTAGGGGTGTCGGGTTTAGGAGTTTAGGGGTACAGGGGTTCAGGGGTTCAGGGGTTTAGGGGTTTAAGGGTTTAGGGGTCTAGGGGTTTAGGGGTTTAGGGGTCTAGGGGTTTAGGGTTAGGGTTTAGGGTTTAGGGTTAGGGGTGTCGGGTTTAGGAGTTTAGGGGTTTAGGGGTTCAGGGGTTTAGGGGTTTAGGGGTTTAGCGGTATAGGGCTTTAGGGCTTTAGGGCTTTAGGGCTTTAGGGCTTTAGGGCTTTAGGGTTCAAAGCATTTAGGGCTAAAGGTTTAGGGTCTAGGGTTTCCTGAAACTGCACGTTACAGACTAGCGGGTCTAAAGGATTTGGGGATCAGGGTTCAGGGTTTGGGTGTAGGGATTTGGGGTTCAGGGTGCTGCTACGTGGACCTACTTCAGATGATCGATTGGGGCTGTGTTTTTCTTGGTGGGACTCGGCTTAACGCTCGTCATTTGACGGAAATGGATAGCAACCGAGCCAAGCATTGGGCTACACACTCACTTCCCCCCCCCCCCTTCTCATTCCGAGATGACTGCCTCAAACCTAAACCCTAAACCCTAAACCCTAAACCCTAAACCCTAAACCCTAAACCCTACGTCCCCTCACGAACCCGAGATGCAAGCATCGCGCCTACCACGGTGCACAGCCCAGTTCTTGCATGCGAACCTATGCAAGGCTTGCCCATGCAAGCATTGCGCATGCAAACCTTGCACGTTGGGATGCTCCCCATTTTGCTAGCAGTCCTTATTAATAGGGATTCTAATAACCCCCGGCTATGATCCCTACTAAGGACTGTTAGTACAACGGGGAACATCCCAACTTGCACGTTCAAAGTGGCCGATGTCGCACCATGGACAGGTGAAATGCACAGACTCATCACAAACTTAGGCAGGCCCAAGCGCCGACTCCAATAAGGAATGATCTGCGCTTTGGAGCATGTAGGGTTTAGGGTTTAGGGTTTAGGGTTTAGGGTTTAGGGTTTAGGGTTTCGGGTTTAGGATCCCCATTCTATCCCCAAGATGGCAGGTGAGCGCAGCTTCACAACTTCTACGACCGCACGTGCCGCCCTTTTGGATTTTCGGCCTCTTTGGCTGGGTGTTTAGTTGTAAAACAGCCATGTATAAACAGGAACAAGAACATGGTCTTTTGTACCCTAAGCCCCAAACCCAACCCCCAAACCCTAAACCCCAAACCCAACCCCCAAGCCCTAAACCCTAAACCCCGAACCCTAAACCCCAAACCCCAGACCCCAAACTCCAACCCCCAAACCCTAAACCCTAAACCGCAAAACCCAACCGCCAAATGACCAAACCCCAAACCCGAAACCCGAAACCCCAAACCCTAAACCCCAAACCCCAAACCTTAAACCCTAAACCCCGCACCCCTCGGCTACCGCAGGCCAGCACCCCTTGGACGAGTCGGCCTTGACCGCGCTGCTGCGCATCGAGGGGGCTCGGAGCCCGAAGCCCTCAGGGTTTAGGGTTTAGGGTTTAGGGTTTAGGGTTTAGGGTTTAGGGTTTAGGGTTTAGGGTTTAGGGTTTAGGGTCTCATGCCCTTGAAAAGGGGGATGTCAGGGTTTACTTGGAGGTTCATGGTACATTTTAAGCAGTCATAGCTTATAACCCACCTACAAGCCCCTGAAGTGCCCTAATATGGTTATAAGTGCAGCCCTGAAGTGCCCCAATATGGTTATAAGTACACTTATGAGTACAGTTAATTTTGGTTAATGAGTGCCATGAACCTCCAAGTAGGGTTTGGGGTTTAGGGTTTGGGGCTTGGGGTTTAGGGTCTAGGGTTTGGGGTTTAGGGTCTGGGTTTTTTTGTATAGGGTTTCGGGTCTAGTGGGTTGTAAGGGGTCCAGGGTTAAGGGTTTCGTGCCTTTAAGCCCTAAAATCCCTATTGTCCTCAAACCCTAAACAGTTTTGGGGTTTTACCTTACTAGTTCATACTAGGGGGTTTATAGGGGTTTGGGTTCTTTGTGCCCGGGCGAGCGCAGTCCCATCGATTTACTCCTCTTACGCTGGTCGTTGGGAGCCCCTTAGTGTTGATACACCGTTTGGGAATCTATAGGCCCTAGGCCCTAAACCCTAAACCCTAAACCCTAAACCCTAAACCCTAAACCCTAAACCCTAAACCTTAAACCCTAAACCCATCCTCCCCCTCCCTTTACATCTTTGGGGCTTGCTTCTGGAGATACTTTCCTATGAACTCCCAAGGCCCTGCACCCCTAACAACGTGATTTCTAAAGTACCCCCCCCCCTCCCGCATTCTTTTGAGGCCCTACACCTTTAGGGTTTAGGGTTTAGGGTAGTGCCCTTGACTCGAAAGACCTTCAACCCGAAACCTTAAACCCCAATCCCTGAACCGTAAGCCCTGTAAGGGAACCTCGACACCCTGGCACTTGCCTTTGCACCGGCTCAAGACGAGCCTGTCTACATGGCCACCACTCATCCATGGCTTACGTCCGATACTGCATCTGGGCTTACGGTTAGGGGCTTTAGGGGCCTTAGGGTTTAGGGTTTAGGGTCTAGGGTTTAGGGTTTAGGGTTTGAATGGTTCAGGGTTTTGGGGGCTTAGGGGTCGGGGAGTCGCACGGTTCTGACGAGACCTACAGAGCTCATGCGTTGCTCGAACATCATTGCTTGAGATTGAGGTGTTTTTTTTGTTGTAGGCTCCTTTATCAACTAACCAACCACAGAAAGGTTACCCGTATTCGAAGGGCTATAGAGACCACGAGGTATTTGCGGAAGATGGCTTCTTATAACATGTTACATTTTTTTGCCCAATCGAACAAACAGTCAATCTTATGTACCTTCTTACGCAAAAGTATCACATACCTTCCGATGGTCTAACGGTAGTTGCATGCTCCCGGTTCTACAAGGGGTATATGAGGGTTCCCGAATTAAGGACCCTTATTAATGGACCATGCAAGCTACCCTAAGAGATAAAGTCCATTCAACATACATTGTTGCCTGCTGGCATCGAGAAAGGCATGATGACAAAGCCTCCGAAACATGGATTCCTAACCCTAAACCCTAAACCCTAAACCCTAAACCCTAAACCCTAAACCCTAAACCCTAGACCCTAAATGTCACAACCCTTGTTCTCTGCGCTTTGGGCCCGAATGCCCCAGCCAGCCACACATGCATCAAGCGCAGTTGTCAGTCAACGCGCTGTTCATGCTGTCTTGGTAGCCCCAGTGGTGCCCTATTCCCGCTTTTTGCGGGTTCAGGGTTCCCTTATAAAGTAACCCTAAACCCTAAACCCTAAACCCTAAACCCTAAACCCTAAACCCTAAACCCTAAACCCTAAACCCTAAACCCCAAAAAAGGGTGCCCTTATGAGAACATGCTTGCTGGGCTACCAAGCTGTCGGTTCAAGGCTCTGTTGTAAAGTAACCAACCCCAAAAAGGATAGTTACCATTACTGGACTGGGGCCCTAAACCCTAAACCCTAAACCCTAAACCCTAAACCCTAAACCCTAAACCCTAAACCCTAAACCCTAAACCCTAAACCCTAAACCCTAAACCCCATCTACTACCAAGAAAAAAGGGGTTGTGAGGCTACCAACGTCTGGGGTTCGAATGTTGGAGGGCTCGGGGCTCCAGGGTTTCAATGTTTGAGGCTTCAGGTTTAGGGTTTTCTAAGGGGTAAGGGTGTAGGTTTTAAGGCTAAACTCTAAAAAGTCCCTAAGCTGAACTCAGTGTTCATCCAGCCGAGGAACAGTTTCTGAGCGCCCCCTGCAGAAACTTGCCACCATGTGGGCCCCTGGCCAGCACTGAAGCCGACCGGACCCTCAAACCGTACATCTTTAAGCTTTGTGGGTTGAGGGGGTTTAGGGGGTTTGGGGGTTTAGGGGTTTAGGGGTTTAGGGGTTTAGGGGTTTGGGGGTTTAGGGGTTTAGGGGTTTAGGGT